TCCTAAGTGCCTGGTGGAACCAGCCCAAGACCCACTCAGCCAACCCACAACATCTCGAGAAATAATGAATCGCTGTCATCGTAAGTGAAAGTCGCTCAGTAGTGTCCGACTCTTTGTGACCCCATGGACTACACAGTCATGAAATTCTCCAGGCCAGAATACTGGAGTGGGTAGCCTTTCCCTTACTCCAGGGCATCTTCCCAACCCAGGGATCGAACCCAGTTCTTCCGCGTTTCAGGAGGGTTCTTTACCAGCTGAGCCGCCAGGGGAGCTTAAAACTGGCGTGTCAAGAGTTGTCATAAGCTCCTCTTGTCGTAAGCGCCTCGTTTTTAGATGATGCTCTTTGCATAGTAACAGGTCATTGAAACTGGTAGCTCAGCTATGCGTGGGCTGTCTCCCTTTCTGGGTCCATAAACGGATTGGCTGCTGTTTTACAAAAGCATATGGAACTGAAGAACATATCCACTAAAAGCAAACACACATAGGAGCCCACTTCAATTCTGAATCACAGCAGAATCATTTCAAGGACATTTACACAGCAATTAAACTCACCGTGTGCAGTGCCAGCCATGCACCCCCTCAACTGGAGAGAGGGTAAAGCTAGTGGCTGTGGTCAGGTTCACCATGACAATAAATGAACTCACGACACGACGGCCAAGAGGCATCAGCCTAAGATGCTCGGCGGTCTTGGAGCCGGGAAGATGGGCGCACGCTCATCACAGAAACAGTGACGCGGGGCAGCTCGCAAGCCCGCCTGCTGCCCTGCATGCAGTTGCCTGGGCGACCCGGCGGCCTCAGGACAGGTCTCTCCTCTGTTATTTCCATCCATGCTCCATTTTCAGCCCATACAGTTCGTTCTGTCGTTAGCAGGGATTCTCAACTGCACGTCTGTTCCTTTCTCTTCCCTGCTGAGGTCAGGAGCCCCAGGAATACAGGTGTCTCACCTGCTCTCCCAGCCCGCCACCTGCACCCCACCTTCCCCCACAGGTACTGTGTTCTCCTCACTTTGCGGCCGTGCTGATGGAGAGACAGGGGTGCGTCTGAAAGTCAAAGAGGTGACTGGCTGCCCTCCTGGAATTGCTGACGAAGGGGGGTGTTGATGCTGGTGGAATTCGGGATAACAGCAGACTTGGGCTAGACCGGAGAACAGAGCCCATTTCCCGGGTAAGGACAGTCATGATCCTGTGGTCCCTGCGTCCTGTTCACTGGCAGGTTCTGGCACTCCACTGGCAGACACTCACATGCGGCGCATCTGTTATCTCCAGCATATGAAGCTTTGCCCGGCCACCAGACACATAAATTCATCAACAGATGCCCTCATTCAAGCCTGACAGTCTGTGGGTGGAGGACTCTGTGTGTATTTGAGTTTGTTCACTGAGGGGTCAGGAAGACCTTGTACCATAGGTCATTTACAAACACACTTGCAGGACTTCGCTGGTGGTGCAGTGGATAAGAATCTGCCTGCCAATGCGGGCGACCCAAGTTCGATCCCTGGTCCAGGAAGATTTCACATGCCGCAGAGCAACTAAGCCAGCAAGCAGCAGCCCCTGAGGCCTGTGCGCCTGGAGGAGGAGGCTTCTGCAGGAGCAGAAGCCACTGCGACGAGAATCCTGAGCACTACAGCAAAGAGTGGCCCCCACTCACCGCGACCAGAGAGAGGCCACGCCCAGCAACAAAGAACTGGCGCAACCGAAAATAAATAAATTAAAAAAATCAAATGTGTTAAAACAAAACACACACTTGCAGATTTAGGCCACACAATTCAGCAGTTCCACTTCTGGGCACATATCCAGAGAAAACACTAATTTGAAAAGATACACACACTCCAATGTTCGAAGCTGTACTATTTACAGTAGTCAAGACATGGAAGAAATCTAAGCGTCCATCAACAGGTGAATGGATTAAGAACAATGTGGTACATGTGTACAATGGAACAATATGGAAGGAGATTTTCATGTTATCGGATTATCATATCATCAGGATTATCATCATCGTATGGAACAAACATACCTAACATTATCATATTATCAGAAGTTATCTTATTAAGGTAAGCCAGAGAAAGACAAATATCATATGATATCCTTTATATGTGGAAACTTCAAAAAATGATACAGATTGACTCATTTACAAAACAGAAATAGACTCACAAACATAGCAAACAAACCCGTGGTTAGCAAAGGGGCTAAGAGGGGGGAGGGGTAAACTAGCAGTTTGGGGTTAAGGCATGATACTTTGCTCTACAGAAGAGATAAGCAGCAAGCACAGGCGACATTGAGTATAGCAGAGGGAACTGTACTCAGTATCTTGCAGGAGCCTATTATAGAAAAGAATCTGAAAAAGAACATATGCACATATATATGTATAACGGAATCACTCTGCTGTGCCCTTGAAAGTAACACAACATTGTAAATTAACCATACTTCAATTTTTAAAACTGCTTTAAAAAACTGTTTGCAGATTTAAAAGAAAACTCAGTTCTCAGTCTTACCAACAGCTGCTACTCCGCCCACCTGACACCCTTAAAATGGGGAGATGACCAAGGGCTCAGGAGAGCCCAACATGCTGCAGGGCGAAGTCCCCACTGAGGGGCAGTCCTGGGCTTCCAGGTGGGTTTTTAAATTTCCTCCCCTCACTTTCCAGAAGGATGTTGAGATGGTTCGCAGAGAATATAGATGAAAACTTAATAAGCTAGAAGTGGAAAATCGGGAACAAGTTAAAGGAACACATGTATGTAGCGTAAGATAGTTGCCGTGACTCGTCCTAAATCCAGGTTTCTGCAGCCAAAGGGAAGGGGTCAGCATGCAGAGCGGTTTCCACTCTCAGCATCACAGCCCAGTCCTCAGACGGGGCGAGGACCCCCTCGGGGCTCAGTTCTGAGGTTAATGGGCACACGGACCTTTACACAAGGGACAACGGGTAACGAGAGCCCTTGGCCAGTGTCCGTATCTCAGCCTTTGCTAAACCAGTGCTGTCTGTTTTCTCCTAGGACTTTTAGTCTTCTATTAATAAAATAAAATGTGCTTGTGTATTCATGATAGATCTAATTTTTCTAAAACGACACATTTTTGCATTGCAGTTTATGCCATGTTGGTAATCATTCTGTTTAAAGAGTCCAAAGTATTAAATACTGCTGTTGAAACCCATTATCTTTCCAGTGATAGATTTCCAGAAGGGGAAAGGAAATGCAGATATGTTGGAAGAAACATGCTCAATTTTAGACCAATTTTAAATGTATAATGAGAAGAAAATTACACCCTAGTTATAAGGAGCCAAAGCCAAAACAACAGAACAGTGAAAAGAGGACACAACAAAAGCGGTTACCAACCTGCACGGCAGGTTCAGCAGATGGATTCAGTCACCTGTGTGTTCAGCAGCAGCGAAAACCACAGAGCTGTGGGATTTCAAATGTGCACCTTCCACCCTAAGTAAGAGTCATCACCGAGAATTCAGTGCCCACACGACGTGTGAAATCCTGGGGAGGGCGGCAGAGAGTAGCTCTGTAGAGCTCAGATCCTGTGCTATTTCCTTCCCGGACGACCTGGCGCTTCTCTGAGTCACATTTCCAACCTGGGCCTCGTCTGCACGTGGAGACGTGCCGACCACCCCTCTTCCCACCAGCCATCATCCTAATCACATGACTCATTTATACGAAATGTGTGTCACAGCACAAGTCCATGCGTCTGTCCCCACAAGATGGAGAGCACCCCGAGGGCAGAATCCCATCTATCATTTCTGTGTTCTTGGTGATGCTTACCCATTCGTCCAGCAGACATTTAACATTCAATGCAGTCCTTAGAGACAGAGAAAGATAAAAGTAAGTAAGATGATCCTTCAGCTCAAGAAGCTACCAAAATAACAACAGAATCAAATCAGAGAAACCTTCACAGGAAAAGCCAGACAGCAGGAGAATGAGGTAGTCCAGGCTCATCTCATCTAGGAAGAATGTGCAAAACTCCCTAGCAATATTTAGCAAAATATACTCAAAGTATTTTTTTTTCAGCAGTGAGGCATTTTCAGGGCAGGCTGGTTGGGCAAGGACTGTGGCCATGAATTCAGTGTGAAGAGGGCCAGTTCAGTGGTGTCATCACTCTGAGCTCCTCCCGGGCAAGTACAGACCGAGCAAGGGCTGGGTCCCAAGGCTAGGCTTGCCCCAGGTGAACGCAAGGTGGTCCGGGGTACGGAAGCCAGAGCTCCTTGCAGGGAGGTGACAGACGGTGGGTATGAAATAGGAGCTGCGATAGGAGGGGAGCAAACCCAAGGGCTGGCGGCCTGCTATCAGAAACGAGTAGACTGATACCTCAAGACCTCCCAAGGCCAACAGGCTCCAGAGGGTCAGGACTCAAGCAGAGCAGCTGGGAAGGAAGGAAACAGAAGGCATTGAACAGTTTTGTTGAGTATGCACACAGCGGAGCCCGTGCAGCATGGATTTCACGCGTTGGTCTGGGACGCACAGTCAGGGCGTGAACAGGCGATGTTGGCCTGTCCAGGTTGCTGCGATCTGGCCTCCACCTGCCTCCCTTGTCCCATGCTTTGTGCTGCAGTAACACATTGTGTGTTTGGATGCACGCACACACACACACGCACTTCCTCCAGCTGTCACGTCCACCTGAAACCCGCTCCCAGCTCCCTCCAGGCCGAGCGGGCCCCGTAAGGCCTGTGTGTCTCTGTCTCCGCACTCCCTGTGTTCCATCGCTAACACCTGACATGCCTCTCAGGCCTGGACTCTGGGCCCCAGCTTTGCCCCTGATCTGCTCGCCTCGTTCACAGGAGGGAGCCTGTGCTCAGAAGCTCGCTCTACAGGAGCGGAGCCAGACTGTCCAGTATCCTTTTTGACGCCAAAGGACACCAGGGTCTTCTGGAAGAGGAATGCACCTCACCTCACCTGGAGGGGAGCAAACCCAAGGGCTGGCGGCCTGACTCAGAACAGAACAGACTGACACGCTCAAGAGCCCCCCAGGGGCAAGGACAGTTGTCACTATCCCTTGTCTAGAAGTACTTACTTTTTCCTTTCCTCGTGAATGTTTCTCAATGTCTCTGTACTTTCTGAAAAAACAGAAGAGAGTCATGCTTGAAATGTTTAAAGCTCACCAAAATCATCAAATAAAAATGTCGACCACCGTCTCAGCCTCAGGAAACACTGACCACCACAAGGAAGGAGCTAACTGTGCCCAGAGGACACAGCCTCCTAGCAACATCAGCTTCCAGGGAGAGAAAGCACCCCCACCCTGGGGTTGTGGGGGGGTAGTGGCTGACCCAAGGTTGACCCAAGGCAGCACATTTATAGGCATCTTCTGCCCCAAAGCCTTTATATGCTCTCAGGGCAGGGTGGATGGGAACCCTAACATTTGAAAGGATTTGACGGTTGTTTAATCACATCTGCAAACCCGGTTTCTTCACACAGCCCTTGAGAGGACGTGCAGAACCAGCATTCCTGCTCTCCTTGGGCTGGTAGAGAACCCGGGCTCCAGACACGAGGGTTTACTCAAACGCCCAACTGATCAGCAGAACTGGGGCCAAAACAGCCAACGTTGGGCCAATCCAGCCCAAAGTCCGGTCCCTCCTCCGTCCCCTCCCCTGCCAGCAGGGCTCCCGTCTGCCTTCTGAGTCGTCTGCCTTCCGAGTCAACAGCCATGCAGACCGGCCCGCCTGCAGCTAATTCTTCCCCGGGGCCGACGTGGGCCTCCGCTGTGCACTTTCGGACCGGCCTCCCCGACGCAGGCCTCCCGCTGAGGAGCACCTGCCCGGTCCGCCTCCTGAGTGGTGACTGGACTCAGGCTCTCATCCACCCTGCGGACTCTTCACCCCAAGCCCCAGCTCTCTGATGAGGGAGAAAGCTCTTTAAGCAACCCAGAGACTCGGGTCAGGGTTCAACATGTGACCAGATGACAGGAAAGAACAAAACACTGATGGGCAGAGGCCCTCGTGTGAGGAGCCAGGGACACAGTGGGAGCACCATTCAACTCAGCCCAACAGCCCCCATTGTCTCTCCACCCACCACGCTGTCAGGACCATCAGCAGTGGATTAGAACTGCAGTAAAACCGAGGTAAAAAGCCTTCTATAAAGAAAGCTGAGTGCTGAAGAATTGATGCTTTTGAACTGGTATTGAAGAAGACTCTTGAGAGTCCCTTGAACTGCAAGGAGATCCAACCAGTCCATCCTAAAGGAGATCAATCCTGGGTGTTCATCGGAAGGACTGATGTTGAAGCTGAAACTCCAATACTTTGGCCACCTGATGCGAAAAGCTGACTCACTGAAAAAGACCCTGATGCTGGGAAAGATTGAGGGCAGGAGAAGAAGGGGACAACAGAGGATGAGCTGGTTGGATGGCATCACCGACTCAGTGGACATGAGTTTGGGTAAACTCTGGGAGCTGGTGATGGACAGGGAGGCCTAGCATGCTGCAGTCCATGGGGTCGCAAAGAGTCGGACACAACAGAGCAACTGAACTGAATTGAAAATCGGGAAATACCCAGCCCCGCCAGGCGTGGGGGCGGGACACTTACCCAAGCATCCCCCTGCCCACCACGCCACCGGGGGTCCCCGTCCACCAACGGGACGAAGGGAGCCTTAAAGTAGAAACCCTAGCAGCGTAGGAGCCAAAATGGGCAGGAAGACACTGCTCCCGTGAAGGCTTCTCAAGTTTCCCACCTGGAGCTCCTGCTGGGGTCCTGGGGTAGGGGTGAAGGCCCGCCGGCAAGGCGGAAACCACCCAGCGCCCCGCAGTGAGATGAAAACAGACGCCTCTTGTTCTCAACGCAGTGACCCTAACAGCTCAAGGGAGAAGTCCGACGCGGAGGGTTCCCGCAGGCCCGCCCATAGGCCCCACACTAAGTGTGGTTCTGACACAGCCCTGGGGGCCCAGCCACCAGCGCAGCACAATCCCGAGGGTGGGCTTCAGACACTGCTCATCTCAGCAAGGCCTGGAGCTCAGACGGGTGCTTGGTCCACCTTAAACACTGCAGCGACAGCCCCGTGAAGAAACACGTGGGCTCATGTGTACACAGGTCCACGGCCCCCAAGAGCCCGACACCCCTGGCGCAGGAGACGCGGGGACGGCCGTAGGGTCCCGGGCAGGCCCAGGCCTGGCCCCCAGGAGGGCACATCTGATGCCCATGGGCCTGGCCTCCCCTGCCCAGGCCGTTTTTCTCAGCTGACCCAGAGGCACCAAGCCCGGGCCTTTCCTTGGGGCCAAACGTGAGGAGCTGGATCTGCACACAGCGCCGACCTTCGGTCCCGCAGGCAGCCTCCTGCCCGCCCGTCTGCGGAGCCCGGGGCCGCCCCGACGACACTGGGCGTCCAACACTCACAGCTCGTCCAGCGCTGTGACCCCGAGGGCCCCAGACCCACAGGGCGGTGTCTGCATCTGGCGGCAAACTCAGAAAGGGCGGACGGGACTGGAATCCACAGGCTGATAACGTGGAGCTGGGAGCACCGAGGGTTTTCACACAAACACAGCCTGAGGGCAAGCTGGGTGAGACGCGGAAACTCGCGGAGGGGTCAGGCGCCATTCTGCCCCGGGGACGGACCCAAACCACCTGTCTCACCACCTCAAGGACCGGGACCGTAAGAAGAACTCTCTGCTGAAGCAGTCCGCTCCGTCCTCAGGAGCATCGACGCACGTCGGAGCGCCGACGCCGGGCTCTTCAGGATGCGGGACACACGTCAGCGCGCCGATGCTGGGCCCTTCAGGACGCGGGATGCACGTCAGCGCCAACGTTGGACACGGGACACACGTCAGCACGCCTTCTCTGGGCTCTTCAGGACGCGGGACGCACGTCAGCGCCAACGTTGGACACGGGAGACACGTCCGCGCGCCTTTGCTGGGCTCTTCAGGAAGCGGGACGCACGTCAGCGCCAACGTTGGACACGGGAGACACGTCCGCGCGCCTTTGCTGGGCTCTTCAGGAAGCGGGACGCACGTCAGCGCCAACGTTGGACACGGGAGACACGTCCGCGCGCCTTTGCTGGGCTCTTCTGCCTCAGGGAAGACCCAAGCCATCCCCCCAGGCCTGAGCCCACAGGAGCGCACGGAGCCTTCTCTTCAGGCGCCCGCCTGCCCTGTCTCAGATGTCACACGCTCTCAGCGGACGGGACCGCAGCCCCCGCCGTCTCATCCTCCTCCCAGCCACTCCTCCACAACCAAAGACCCACACTCCGAGGGCTCCCTGTTACCCAGGTCCGGGATCTACTGTAAAATCATGTCTTTGTTCACCAGGAGAGACCGCCCCCCGGCACACACTGCTTTACAGAAGGAAAAGCAAGTCGAATTAAGAAAACAAACTGTGTCAGGTGGAGGGTGGGTTATCATGACCGTGGCCTGGGACCACCTCCATCTTGCACGTTTAGACCCTTGACCTCTGTGACCCCAGGAACCCAGAAAAACCCCAGTCCCCAGCGCACTCGACATAGGACGTCGCTGTGCTGTGACTCTCCCCAATACCAGAGGTTCCTCCACGCCTAAGATTTTGAAAATCCAAAACTGCATCACATATAAAATGAGAAGATCAAATTTCACTACAGAAAAACAGCAGATACCTGAACTGGTCCGGTAACAGCAGATACCTGAACAGATACCTGAACAGAGGATGAGATGGTTGGATGGCATCACCGACTCGATGAACATGAGTTTGAGTAAACTCCGGGAGTTGGTGATGGACAGGGAGGCCTGGCGTGCTGCAGTCCATGGGGTCACAGAGAGTCGGGCATGACTGAGCCACTGAACTGACTGAACTGAACTGGCCACGTGAGGGAGAGGTGCCAGGGAAAGGGCAGCTTTCACCAGGCAGAATAAAGGAATGGAAAGTGCTCACTGTTGGATTTCACTCGGCACCTTTGGGTACTTCCAGTAAGGGAAATTCTTGAAGGCCTCCAGTCCTGCTGCCACGTAAAAATGGTTGTCTTGCAAATCCTTGGAGTTGTCCAAAAGATATCCATTCATTGTAAATAATCTGCGAATAAAGAAAAAGCAGTGGGCTGGAGATTTAAGAGCCATGACGTCAGGGCCGAGGATGGGGAGAAGAGGCACCTGTAGCCAACACGACTGGCATGTGGACCACACGGGGAGTGACGGGACTGATGCTCTCTGAACAAACGTGATCTAAACAGGCCGAGCCCTGAGCGGGCGGCTCTGCCAGGATTGGGCTTGCTTTCCATTTTTAGATTTTTTAATTAAAGTATATTTTTAATTATGTACAAGTGCTGAAAGGCCCTTGAGAAGAACACTTTAAGCTGTTGGTTGTTGTTCAATTAATTTTAAGTAATAACAGCTAAAATTAGTACAAATTGGCTTATAGTGTATAAAAATACTTGAAAAAAAAACTTGGCATTTATTAGAAAATAATATGCCTTCTTATAAGCACTGAAAGAATAAAATGTCTGCTTTCTATTCTGCACTCTTTCTGGCAAGTATTAATGCACTCATTCATTCATTCAAGAAGCCATTCAGTTCACTCCATGTTGAGCATCTGTTAGGCACAAGACAATGAGCTAGTCATTGCCTTGGATAAAAATATGAATAAGAAAGTCACTGCTTCCCCAGAGTCAAGAAGTGTACAAAACCGGAAGCCAAGTAGGGCCAGAGAAGGGCAAAGGGCCAGTGCTCTGAGGAGAGCAAGACCAGAAGCTGCTGTGGGCTTCACTGAGGTGGGAGAATGTGCAGAGGGGTTTGAAGGGTGCATAGGAGTTCCTTGTGTGAAGATGGAAGCCTTTGGGGAAGCAGAAGGGGTCTCTGCAAAAATCCAGGACACAGGGGGCTGACTGCCACTGAAAGATGACACCCAGAGGACTTGACCACTGAATCACGAGCCTGGAATTCTAAGGGGAGGAGCTCATCGCTGACTCAGAGTGAGCGGAGGTTGGAAGTGTGGGGTGAGTGCTGTTTGACAGCACTCAGCTGGCTGTTATGGATGGGATGTGACAGAGGAAAAGCACCTCGCCCTGGGAAAGGAGACTCAGAGCTCCCGCTGGGGTGGAGGACGTGCTTACCAACAACCGCAGCGAGCACAGGAGGGGAGACGAGATAAAGAAGTAGGACATGTGGAACAGGCGGGGCCCCCAGGACCTACCCCTCCCTCCATCACACACCCGCAAACCCCAGTGAGCGTGGGACCAGCCCGGGGGCTGGCTCACGCACAGTGGTGGGGCCCCCACCACGGAAGCGCTGATCCAATGAGCCCAGGATGGGGCCTGAGCATGTTTCCAACCAGGGCAGCTCCTGGCCCTGCTGCCCTGGGTCACCTGGAGGGGCAAGAAGGAGACCCCAGACAGGAGAGAGCAGTGAGACACCTTGGGAGCAGAGCACAGGGCTTCCAGGTGGGAGGCAGGGCTTGGAATTCCCCACCTGCTGTCCCCTGGGACAGTCGGTGTCCGTCCCCCCAGAGGGCTCACAGCTCACCAGCAGCAAGTCAGGGAGGGGCAGGCACCCTCAGCAGTGAGCGGCCCAGGGAGGCGGCAGACTGGCCTGTCATGGCCTGGAGGACAGCATCCCCCCGAAGCCCGGGCTCCGAGGGCTGCACCCCAGGGCACTGGGGGAGGACGGCTGGGGGGACGCCACTGGAGGAAGTGCCGGGACACATGGAGCAGGAGCTTGAACAAGGAAAGCTTATAAAGTCAGGGAACTGAGAAGTGAGCAATTACTGGAAAGAGACACATGTATCCCAATGTTCATTGCAGCGCTATTTACAACAGCTTAGAACATGGACGCAACCTAGATGTCCATCAGCAGATGAATGGATACAGACGTTCTGGTACATATACACAATGGAATATTACTCAGCCACAAAAAGGAATGCATTTGAGTCAGTTCTGATGAGGTGGATGAAGCTAGAACCTATTGTACAGAGTGAAGTTAGAGAGAGAAAGAGAAATACCGTATTCTAACGCATATATACAGAATCTAGGAAAATGGTACTGAAGAATTTACTTACAGGGCAGCAATGGAGAAGCAGACATAGAGAATAGACTTATGGAACATGGAGGGGAGGAGAGGGTGAGATATATGGAGAGAGTAACATGGAAACTCACATGACCATGTGTAAAATAGATAGACAACGGGAATTTGCTATTTGTCTCAGGAAACCCAAACAGGGGCTCTGTATCAAACTAGAGGGGTGGGGTGGGGAGGGAGAGGGGAGGGAGGTTCAAAACGGAGGGGATGTGTGCACACCTATGGCTGATTCATGCTGAGAGTTGACAGAAAACAGCAAAATTCTGTAAAGCAATTATCCTTCAATAAAAAATAAATAAGCAATTGCTGTTTGGAAGATAAAACAGAGGAGCCATCCCAGGACAAAGCAGGGAATGATAACAGAACACAGAGACGGAAAGTTAGGGGGTAAAAATGAGAAGTGCCATCATCCAGACAGTAGGAATCCCCAAAGAAGCTAAAACAGGAGCTGAAAGGAAGAAACACATGTAGAAATGATGAAGATTAACGTCACAGAGGAAAAGACAGAGGGCAGTTGAGCTGGAAGTGCCCCCAGTGGGTGAGAAGGCAGAGAGACCAGGGTCAGGGTCACCGGCACGGCCAACCGAGCTCCACGGAGGCTGAGAGCAGAAACGGTTGGAACTTGGAGCCTCAGGACTCGGCCAGGACTGCTCAGTACCATGCTCTCCAGCCGGGACAGGGAGACAGGGGGGCCGGGGGACAGGCCACCCTCCCTTGTCCTGGGCTTGCTGCCTGAGCAGACTCCACTGCTGTCTCAGCCTCACCTTCCCCTCCGGCCACAGCCCTGCAGCCTCGACGACCTCCGCTGCCTCCCTGCGCAGACCGCCAGGCTGCTGGCTACGACCTCGGGCCGTCCCTGGACTCACCTCCTCACCGAGCCCCTCTGGGCTGGTCCCTCCCTGCTCGGCCACAGACCGTCCACCCGTCTGCCCCCTCCCTCACCCCGGGCCGCCAAGCATCAGAGGAAACCGCAGCCCTGCAAGGCATCCCACTGCATATCCTGGGCCCAGGCTCGTGAGGCCCCCAACTCTGCTCGGCCTCACTTCTGCTCCGCTCACTCTCTGCTCGCTGTCCCCCATCCACTCACAAGAGACCACCTTCCCACCTCCAGGTCCAGCGCCTTCCATCTGCTCGGGACCTTGTCCTGGTGGCCACCCCAGCCCTCTCCTCCCGAGTGCATCACTGACCACGCGCGCGCACACACACACACACACACACACACACACAGAGCAGCCTCCATACAGCAAGGCGCCGGCTGGCAGGGCCTGCATGGGGTGGACACTGGAGGCTGCTCTGGCCGCAGGCCTGGCTGCCTCCTCACAAGGACGCCAGCTGTATACAGTGGACCGTCTGCGGTTTCCCCCAGACCCCTCGCTTGTTCCCAATCGTGACTGCCAGCCCATCCCACACTCACCAAGGGCTCCTCAGACACCCCACCACATCATGACTCCTGGAAGCAGGTACTGTTCTAATTTCCAGTTTCCCAGAGGAGGAGACAGGCCTCGGGAAGCTCAGAGCCTCCCCGGCGTGACCCAGGTGCGGCCACTGCAGCTCCTTTGTCCAAGGACTCCACCCCCACCGATGGGCCAGTCAGCCCCCCGACTTCTCCTGCCCAGCTGTAATTGCTGGCCACCCGCAGGGGCGCTGGGGGCCCCGGGGACAGAGTGGGGTCATGAGACACACCTGCCTGGGTAGCCGTGTTCACCACACCTCGTGGGAGGGGGACACTCACTAAACTTCATTGAGTGAATGCACAAAAATGGTTAAAAATAAGTATGGTCCGAAGACTCCAGAAATACTGCCTGCCTGAAGAATTAAAACCAGAGTTCACGAGCCTCATGTCAGACCTCGCTGTACTGGTTAGAAGTTCTCACCGAACCCCCCCACTTCCCGGGTCCCCGGGGCAGGCCGCAGGCTTACTTTCTAACGCCTCCCAGGGGGAAGACCTTCTCCCCGACCGTGGCCAGCACGCTGTTCCACTCCATCAGGCTGAATTTGGGTATAATAATCTTTACAGGTGGAATAAATAATCTTCCATTTGTGAAAACACTGCAAGGATAAAAGGAAAAGACTTTGTTAGTGCCTCACGCTCTGGGGGAAAATGCTGGGCGTTCAAGAAAAAAACCCACTTACAGAACCATGGAAACCATGCAAAGCCCTGAGCTCAGAGAAGGGGGCAGAAACAGCAGGGACTCGGCCTCATAGGAGAGAGAACACGCCAATGAGCAGGGCTACACTCTATCCTTTAAAAACTATGCCTCTGTCGAAACAGAATTCCCCTACGCTGTTGGTGGGAATGAAAACTGATACAGCCACTTGGGAGACCAGGATGGAGGTTTCTTAAAAAACCAATAATAGGATTTTCACATGACCCAGCAATCCCACTACTGGGCACATACCCAGAGAACACCATAATGCAAAAAGATGCATGCACCCCAGCGTTCACTGCAGCACTATTTACAACAGCCAGGACGTGGAAGCGACCTAGACGCCCATCAGCAGAGGAATGGACAAAGAAGATGTGGAACATACATGCAATGGAATAATATTGTTGTTCAGTCACTAAGCCATGTCTGACTCTTCCACAACCCCACAGACTGTAGCCTGCCAGGCTCCTCTGTCCATGGGATTCCCCAGGCAAGAATTGTGGAGTGGGTTGCATTTCCTTCTCCAGGGCATCTTCCCGACCCCGGAATCGAATCCACATCTCCTGCATTGGCATGAGGGTTCTTTCCCACTGAGCCACATCCAAATGCAAATAATTTAAAACTGGAGAAATACATCTCTTTTTTTCCCCAGGGTAAATGTAAATTTTAATTTAACATGCTTGCACCCAATAAAAAGAATCCATTTTCTCATTAAGGCTCTGTGGCAAGAGGCCTGCAAACTCCAGAGTCCACCTTTTTCCATGTTTAAATGTTGCCCCCAAACAAACCTTGAAAAGATGTTCTGTGCAAGCTGCATCACAACTCATGTGTGATGTTGATGGTGATGGTGGTGATGATGGTTGTGGTGGTGGTGGTGGTGATAATGGTGATGGTGGTGGTGGTGGTGATGATGGTGATGGTGGTGATTATGGTGATGGTGGTGGTGATGTGGTGGTGGTGGTGGTGATGATGGTGGTGATGGTGATGGTGGTGATGGTGGTGGTGATGATGGTCATGGTGGTGGTGGTGGTGATGGTGGTGATGGTGATGGTGGTGATGGTGGTGATGATGGTGGTGGTGGTGAGGAAAGGTCAAAACACCTTTCTCCCTCGAACACTGAGAACTCTGAAAACCATCTTAACTATTTTCTGTTTGTTTTTAAGTTACAAGGTCTCCATGCGAACATGGTAGAAAAGGCCCTGCATTTGGATGGTATTTGGGTCCATCTAGTGGAGTTTCTAGCACACCGTGTACAGAACAAAGCACAAGCCTTAAGAATAACTGATTTATAATAGGAAAAAACAGTCTGGAAAAGGAAGGGAGAACCACTGAAAACTTGGGTCAGGACAAAAAAATATATATATATCTAGGGAAATGTGTCTTCGCCAGGAAGGACCCATAAGCCAGTAATGCTCCCTCAGGTTTCTACCCATTCTTCAGAAAGAGATGTCTTTCACAAAATTTAGAAATACTGTCTCTTTGTTATTTCAAAACAGTTCTCAGATGAATAAAAGACACAGTGGAAAGATCTCGGCTATGTGAGTGGCTCCCTTGCAGAAGGCTAAGGAAAAGTATCTTAGAGAAATGATGGTTGGGTTTTTGAGGGTAAGTGAAGGAGCAGCTTCGCTAACCAGCAGGCCGTGTTTGCTCGTGATGCCCTTGGGTGTCTCCGTTGGGGGGCTCTGCTGGTTCCACGGGGGCTTCCCCGCCTCCTGGGCACCAGCTCTTGGCTGGTCAGCAGGGGCGGGAAGGACAACCGGCTGGAAAGTGGAGCCTCGGCTACTCAAGGCTACTCAAGGGACCAAGCCGAGCTGGCGCCCCTCTGACTGGGAGCCAGGACCTGCAAACTCACTGGAATTCCTTCCATCAGAAGCAGGACCAGGAGAGAGGGGAGGTGCATCAACTTCTGCCTCCGGCATCCGGCTGCTACAGAACTCACCCTGCACAGCCTCCGCTCCTGCTACCCCGGCTCCCGGTTCACCAGGGAGGGTCAAAACTACCTTCCTCGCTCAAACATCAGAAACTCTGAAAGCCATCATAACTGTTTTCTGTTTGTTTTTTAAGTCTCGCTGGGAACAGAGCTTCTACATTTCCTATCACCATCCAGCAGCTGCAATGACTAGACTGCAAAATGAATGAAGAAACAGAGACTAAATTGCGTGTTTCTGCCCCACGTGACCCGGGAACTGCGGTGGGGCAATGGCGTTGCTTCTCCAAACTCAAGGTTCTCGAGAGAACACGTGGCACCTGCAAGGCGGAATCGAACAGAAGGTTCCGGGAAGACAGATGAGGTGGCAGGGTGACAAGGGGCAGGACGAGGAGGAGGGCAAAGCCGGGAGGCTGCTGTCTTTAAGGGGCTCGGGCAAGCGCGATCTGCCCCCCACCCCCAAACTGTACTCACTTTATTTGTCGGGACATACGATGGAACATCTGCCACCTGGAAGGCACATTCATGTCACAGTGCACCACCGGCTTGATCTGCAAGGAGACAAAGGAGGCCCAGAAGCCAGGTCAAGCGAACAAACGCTTGGTGGATACCGACATCACACACAGCGCCAGCCCAAAACCTAAGTGAAGGTGGGGCGGCCCCGCTAACAGGGGACCAGGGAAGGTGGGCTCCATGCTGGGCGGAGTCTGGGAGCTGCCGCTGCTGAATCTGGCACATCCTAGAGCCTGTGCTCCACCAGAGAGGACACCTCGATGAGAAGCCCTCACGGCACAACTAGAGAAAAGCTGGCAAGCAACAAAGAGCTCTGCCAAAACTCAACAAATTTTTAAAATTATATATACTCGTATACTAATAGCCACCAAACCAATGCCATGAATATCAACAACTACCATGAATTTGCAGACCCAGTTTGGAAAGAAAAAAACAGACATTATCCTCTGCAAAATTATATTAAGATACAGCTACCCTAAGAAGCAGCTCTCTGCTTGACTGCATAAAATTATGGAAACAATGAACTAATTGCTTTTTTACGTGTTAATGATTCATTAACCCCAATATCACCTGCCTGATTCAATGGCTCCAGCAATTAAATACATGATTCTGGACCTTCTCCTCTGTGTTCCAGATAATAATCTCCTAACAAGTGTCAGGCAAACATGCTTTTCTGTTGTCTGATGGTGGTAACAGTTTCAAGACTCATGTCAATCACCTGCCCCAAGAGGCAGGATCCAGTGGGCTTTAGAGCTCTTTACTGAAGGTGTGGCTCAGACAGTAAAGAATCTGCCTGCCATGCAGGAGACGCTGTTTCGATCCCCAGGTTGGGAAGAAGAGCCCCTGGAGAAGGAAATGGCAACCCACTCCAGTATTCTGCCTGGAGAATCCCAGGGACAGAGGAGCCTGGAGGGCTACAGTCCAAGGGGTTGCAAAGAGTTGGACATGACTGAGCAACTAACCAGGGTCATCAAACCAGATTTGCATCCCTGATGGAAGACACTCGAGGCTGCCAAAGCCGCACAGATGGTTTGCTGATGCCAACTATGAACCAGGCACTGCATTCAGACCTCTATAGGCATTCGTGTCTGATCCTCAAAACAACCAGGTCAAAGAATCAGAGAGGCTATATAATCTTCCCAAGAACACACAGCTATTAAGTGTCCTGGACATAATAAGCCATCAGAAATATTTTATTATAGGTTTTAGCAAAATGGGGACTTGAACCAATGCTGATATAGCATTTCGGAGCCTTTGTTGAGTCATCCACGACTCCAGGACTTTTTCCATCTCTTTAGCACTGTGTGAGCTTGCTCACCTTGTCGCTTTGCTAAGCCTGTCTGTCTGTCTGTGCATGCAATGCGGATCACAGCAGTGCATGTGCAGCAAGTCAGACAGAAAAAGAAATATTTCATGATGTTACTTATATGTCGAATCTGAAAAAAATGCAAATGAATCTATATACAGAACAGAAACAGACTCACAGACATAGCAAACAAACTTATGGTTGCCAACAGTGAAAGTGGGGGGATGATAAATGAGGAGACTGGGATGAACTGATGCAAGCTACTACACATAAAATAGATAAGCAACAAGGATTTACCATATAATACAGGGAACAATATTCATTCCTTGTAATAACCTATCATGAAAAATAATCTTAAAAAATATGCATAACCGAATCACTTTTTCAATCACACTTGAAACTAACACAATATTGTAAATCAAATATACTTCAATAAAAATACACACAAAAAAAATTAGGCCAAAAAAAATAGTTAAAAAAAAAAAGTAGTGCATTGACATAGGTTTGCTCGAGATACCAGTAACACAAAGTGAGTGAACGCATTGTCCAGTGCTCATCAAAGCGCCTGAAGTTCAGAGCTAAGAGCCCAGTCAACAGCAGCAGATCTTATTTGTCTTGTTGCTCTGAAGTCCCTTCTCTCCCCGGCCCCATCCTCTGTGAACACCCTCACAGCCTTCTTCATGCAAAATATCAAACAAAAAGCCCCATAGCTGACCCGTGGTCATGCTCCCCTGGAGGATGGACTTCAGCTCAGTTCAGTTCAGTTCAGTCCAGTCGCTCAGTCGTGTCTGACTCTTTGCAACCTCATGGAACGCAGCACTCCAGGCCTCACTGTCCATCACCAACTCCCGTTTTCCATTGTTTCCCCATCTATTTGCCATGAAGTGATGAGACCAGAAGCCATCTTAGTTTTCTGAATGTTGAGTCTTAAGCCAGCTTTTTCACTCTCCTCTTTCACTTTCATCAAGAGGCTCTTTAGTTCCTCTTCACCTTCTGCCATAAGGGTGGTGTCATCTGCATACGTGAGGACTTCAGCTTCCCGCTGACAAATAGACTTACAGGTTGGAACTGATGCTCTGAATGACTCCAGACTTGCTGACTCCAAAATCAAAGAAACTATCACAGAGCATCAGATGGCCTTGTGGTTCATGCAGACTGCTGGCTATCCTGGGAAGTCCCTACTCAGAAGCAGGGTCTCAACTAAAACCGACCCTGGGACAGTACCTGCCCCAAATTCTGCCAGGCTGCAGACTCCGGAAGGCCCTTGGCCATGGTTCCATTTATTTAAGCCTTATTTGTGGAGGACCCACCATGGGAGGAACAGTGTTAAGTATTAGAGATGCAAAGGTGAGCATCACATCTGGCCTCGGAAGTGCTGGGTGCGAGGGGACCCAAGCCACTGATGGGGCGGTCTGGAAAGAAGGGGACAGCACAGGCAGCTCTGAGGTGGGGGCTCCGTGGGGGCCAGTGCAGGCCACAGACGGGTGTACCCCCTCCTCACAGCGACACAAAGCAGGCTTCCTGGAGGAAGCGGCATCCAGGCTGAGAGCCGAACTACAGGAAGGAGCCAGTCCATTGAGGGTGGGAAGAAATGTTAATGAGGCTGGGGGAACAGCATATGCTACATCCTGGCGAGAGGACTTCGGACACACACTCGTGGGTACACGGTCCCTGGGAAACAGAAAGCGCTAGACTAGATCCTGGACTCAGAGGGAGCGGTGGTGAGAGGTGGGACTGACCGAGAAAACAAGGACCAGGTCAAGGTTAGCAGACTCCATCCCCCGGGAGCAAGGAGGCAAGCCTGGAAGTGTCTGAACCAGGGAACCGAGGCGATCAACTTGGAAGGGGAGGCGCAGCGTGCCGGAAGGCCAGCGGAAGGCTCGGGGCTCCCAGGAGCAGCTCCGGTGCCGTCAACAAGAATTGGAGCAACTGACGGGCTTGAGGGGCGAGGGGAAGGATGGGGTGCGCGGCAGCTGGGAGACGGGAAAACTAAGAACAGCGTCTAGGTCTCTGGTTTCAGGAACCGGGTGTACAACTCCACTCTCCAAAAAAGGGAAACAAAATAACAACTGGGTTTGGAGGAAGAGGTTCAGCTACCGAGGCCGAGCTCCGGAAGAGGTTCAGCTACCGAGGCCGAGCTCCGGAGCCCGCGAACTACGGCTCGGTTCGCAAAGCCCATGGGCCCCAGAGCCGGCGCTGCACAGCAGGGGAAGCCACCCTCGCCCCAACACCAGGGAGCAGCCCCACCGGGCACAGCTGGGGACAGCCCGCTCGGCCACGAAGGCCCCGCAGAGCCGAAACGCATAAATGACAGGTTTTTTTTACTGTTTATTTTTAAAAGTCGTTTTAAAAATCGGAGACTGATGACATTCTCGTTAAATCAACATGACACCGTCATCAAAACTCAAGATTCCAAGTTTACTAGGTTAAACTATCATGATACTTAATTAATAAAAAGAAGAAAACAGTGTGTGTTGGTGGATTGCATCTCTTTAAATATATACATACACATATCGTATATACATGTGTGTCTGTGAGGGTAGATAGCAAGATATTTGCTGCTTGTGCAGAGAAAGGCTGCTGGAAACGGACACGACAAAATACACACAGTGCTGACCTGCGGGAGGTGGGATTGTGGGTGGTTTTCGCTTTCCTCGTTGAGCTTTTCTGCACGGCAATTTTGACATTTTTCTCAGCAAGAACGACTTTAAAATCAGATTTTTTTTTTAAATGAAAGAGTGCAAATTTCAAAAGAACAATTACAAAGCTCCTTGAGCAACCACATCCTTGGTGTGAGGGCCTTGGGAGTCTAGGCCCGACTTGGAGAAGATGGGGTGGTACCCACATTTCACACAACGCTTGTCCTAACATCTCCCATCACAGCGTCCTCAGTCAGAAAACGGGGAACTTTGATGAGATACTCTAGGAAGTCTCCTTCCTGTCCTACAATGCTAAATGTTAACCTGTAATCAAGTCTGATGTTTTTAAATCATTGCAATGTACAAAGGATAAACATAGACTCAAACTTGAACAGTTACTGTCGAGGGGTCCTCTTCAGAACTGGTGTTTAATCCCACTCCGTGCCCCACCTGGAGAAGGAGATTCAGGGACCTAGGGGTTAAGAATGATCATATACCATTTCTTCTCTCTTTACTAAGGTAGCTCTGAAATTTGGTGATTGCCAATTGCTTTCTTGTCAGGAACTTTTCCTCCTGTCCCTGGCAAGTGACAATCTAAGGTGGGCAAGTAATGCTAAATGTGTCTGCAGGCTGGTGCCTTTGGGAAAAGTGAGCCCCACTGGACCGTCCTTGATTGGAGCCCTGACTGGAGTTCAAGGACATTTAGAGGACATGGAGGATGAGAACAGACACATTTAGTACGGGTACAGTATATATATTTCATCATGTAATCTTCATATTACACATTGTCTAACACACATTCTCATCTCCTTTTTACAGAGGAGAGAACTTAATAGCAAAATTACCACGTGTAGAAGCAGATACTCTAAAAACAGCTCACTTTGAAATACTCTACAAAAGCCCATTTATAAAATAAAGAAGTAAAAATCATCTTGCATTCTAAAAAGCATCAGGCTATCTTGCTCAAACCTGGTGATTTTTGTTGCTCATTAGAAAGGTGGATCTCTTTCAGCTTACATGTGAACTGCGGTTTGTTTGTTTGTTTGTTTGCTAAGACCCAAGCGATGTGAGTAGAGTGATGGATGGTCCCATCGTGTAGACCTTTCAAATGTGCTTCAAGCACAAAAATGTTGGGAACATACAGCAAATCTCTAAATTTAACATTATAACATTATAATAAGGAAATGCGACTTAAAATAACTTTTCCTGACACCTGTCTTTCCAAATCCCCAAAACAAAAGAGTTGAAAGGTTTAATGAGTGACAGCACACTGCGTCTCATTAACTGGATGGATGGACCTGCTCTCTCCCTAACGGCCGTCTTAGAACGTTCTCGCCCACGTCCACCTTCTCAGGGACTGAGGTGCTCTGACAACAGAACAAGCTCACCCAGTGATTTCTGGCTTCAAGAGCAGCCTGCCTTTGTAGGCATTCCCTACAAAAGGCTGTTTCTATGAAACTTCAATTACTCCATACTGACATTTCTGTTTTTACCAAGTCATCCACTTTATCCCATCTTTAGTAGCTGGCAGTGAGCACTTACTTCCTTCAACTTCCCCATCTTTGCAGGTTTTCTGGGAACTATATTAATATAACTGCAAAAAAGAAAGAAAAACCTAATTAGAAGGTATATATTTAGACTGAAGATTTGAGCCTCTTTGGAGGTGTCTCCTCTTCGGCATCACAATATCCCACTCCATATCAACTTAAAACTAAAATCTAGAGCACTGTAGATGCCCACGTCAACATATAACAGCAATGTCATTGCAGGAAAATGTCCACATTGGCCACGGTTGGCACCACTCAGGAAAACTGTCCTCAAGTGGCACTGCTTTCCCTCACACACCATTTATCACAGAGGAAACTTGGGAAGGACTCAAAGGGGAAAAGTTTAGGGGGTGGCTCGTGGCTCTTCCAGGGTCCACTACCGGCCAAAGTCAGGGTGGAGACCCGGACGCCCACCCAGCTCCCTCACGCCTGCCCTGTCCCGCGTGTCCCACGGGATGTCGTCGTGGACCCCATCCTGCCAAAACCTGATCACTGGAAAGAGCCACAGGCATCAAACGCGTGTGAGCCCCACAGGCCCACTGTTAACAACCTGGGGACCTCTGAAGAGTCTTCCATATGCCTCGAAGATAGAACAGATGTTCTTAATGATAAAAAAGAATACATTAAAACGTATGTGTGTTAAGGCTTCCTTCTGACTTAAAACAATTTTTTACGTGTCTGGGATTGTTCTTGACAATGATTTTAGCCACAGTCAGAGAAAGACTGACTAAGAGTTGGCGGATGGAAGGAAAGGCATTTTTAAGCGCTTAGGATGCAGTCAGGAGCCACAAGCTCAGACGCCTATGGAGGCAAGTGCACGGTGATGCTTGCAAAGGGTGGTGTTAGGGAGGGTAGGGTCTGCGGCTAGAGGAGTGAGGCTCCCTCTGAGATGGACGGGGTGCGTAACTCCTGGGCACTGTTTTCCTGTGGAAATGCAGGCAACTAAGCACTCAGTCCTTTTAAACAATAAAATCCTCTATTTTTTAATGGAAACCGAAATTTCATATTACACGAACACCTCCATGATAAAATGCTGCAGCCAACTCAAACCTTCGAACACTGTGAACTGAAGAAACTGGACATCTTCAAGTCACCACCGTGGCTCGTAGGCCCTTCCACGCACACTTCTGCTCGTCTCCAAAGGGGCGTTTTAGGGTTGAATCTCCAAATTCCATATCTGACGATGAACATTAATCCCCCAAATGACACAACTTATTATCATGAGATGGAAAACAGAAGGTAAAAATAAACATGGGAAAATTAATGCATAAAAAGATTGAACCACCACAAAATGCCATGTATTGTCTCCACATTGTCTGCCAAAGAACACCAAAACAGAAAGAAAGAGGGGATAAGTGATGCCTCGGAGACCCGGTGGGCCCCGGGGCATTAAGCCAGGTGCCTGGAGGAGGTTTCTGGATGGACCTGGGTTTCCTTGGGGGTGGGGGGCTGGGGAGCAGGAACTTGAAGCAGAGACTAGATGCTCGTGTGCAAGGGGCATGGCCCCCTTGCTGCTTCTGGAGAACAAGAGTAAGGCAGAAGCCCACCATGAGGACCACACCAGGCATTTCAAAGTGCTGTGTCCACTGCATCCTCACAACCCACACTGGAGCAGACATCAACAAGCCCTGTTCTACTGATGAGGAGGCAGCGTCTCAGCGAGGCTGTTCAACCAGCTAAGTGCTACCACACGGGGAAACCCAGGACCCTGTCCAGCCCAGGTCTCCCAGCTCGGATACCACACTCCTCCTCCCCTGGCGTGCTGGCTTCTGCACACGCTCTTCCCCCTACCCGTCTCCCGCTAGTGCTTAGGTGCACGTGGGGGTTAGGAGACTCGCGGACAGACCGGGGTGCCACCGAGCTGCCAGAGTTGACCGGCACGTTCACTTTTTATCTCAACAACAAACTCCTAGGGTAAACAGGAAAAATCCTACCATAATTCAGATTCTTTGGGGTCTCCCCAAACACACACACACATACATACACATACATACTCACACACACATACACATTCATACATTCATGTACATACACGTGTGCACACACAACCATACACGCACACACGCATTGTGTCCACACATGTCTATACATACACATGCAGGCATGCACATGCATGTACACAGGCATAAACATACATGCACACATATACATGCACACATTCATGCATGTGTACATACACGTATGCACACATATGTGCACACATACATGCACAAACACACACATACACAATGCCCCGATCTACATTTTATTGTGAATACAACTTTCTCCACAAATCATTAATTCCAAGAGTTATGGGACATTTATCTTTTAAGTAAGTATTGGCCTACAATATTTTGTTTTATAGAGAAAAAATTCTATTTCTCATCTCAAATTAATTTATTCCAGAGAGTGTAGGAAATGTTTGAATGATGACTGGATTTGGGTAGATTTTACGCTGCTTGTCTTCTCAATGTACCGTTTCACAGCCGTTATTATAAGAAGGCCTCCAGGGCGGTTCATATATCATCAGGTTGCACTTCAAAGTTCATCCGCTGGTGGCACAATTAGAGGCTTATTTGCTGGTGGAAATGAATTTTAACCACTCAACGGCTCAGTAAGTACAGAATATACATTCCGACAAGTGCTAGCTCACTGATACCAACATAAATTAAGCCCGAACAGTTTTCAGAGCTTTATTCACCAACATCTGGGTTCCAATTTCATACTTCACTGATCTAAAAGGTAGTGAAGAAGCGAAACCCAAACGCCTCTCTGTATTGAACTCTGCATGCAAACCCCTCCCATCCATTTGACAGCAGTGAAGGTACACGGAAATTGCAAAATAGCGGAGGGTCTGCACCACGTGGGCACCCCTCCTCCTCCCCCTGCTCAGTGAACTGATCTCCTTCCATTCCCTAGAGAACATAATAATTGACCTTAAGAAACTCAGGAAGAAAAACATCTCAACGTCTTTCTCAATGTTTCTGCCATGAGTCCAAAACATTTTAAATAAGCCCTGACAAATCTCTCCACCAAATGAGAGTCTCCTGCATCTCCTGCACGAGCAGGTGGGTTCTTTATCACTGCATGACCGGGGAAGCCCCAATCCAAATGCTGCCTCTCAGCAGCTGTGATGTCTGTGATTTTCCTTCAAATGCAACAGGATGTCAAGTTTGCACATTTGCAGATGCCATTAAGAACTTAGATCACAAGCCAGCTAGCTCACAAAACACCTCTATCTGGGTGGCCCTGAAAAACTCAAGATTAAACAGGCCCACCCACACCCACCCAGATACCGGAAGCAGAGAGAGAAACGAAGGCAGAGGCGCCATCTGAAGAGACAGTGGCTACGAACTCCCCCAGAGCTGACGACAGTCACCGTGCCAGGACTCAGGAAAAGTCAATAAATCCGCACTTAGACAGACCACTTAATGCACAGTACCCAGAATCAAACAATGTGCATTTCAAAGAGCTAAAAAAAGATAAAACATTACTTTCAAAGAAGCGAATGATGATAGCTGATTTCTCACCAGCAACCACCGAGTTAGAAGACAATGAGAAACGCCTTCCACAGGCCGAAGGACACTGTCCTCCACAGATTTATAACAAAAATACATGAAGAAAAAGGATGAGAAGACCTCGGCTCTGGGAACCGTGGACCAAGAAAGACTGATCGATGTGTCCTCTTCAAAACAAGTAAAACTGGACAAACTAAAAGCACACCGCTGCAACATAACAAGATAGTGAGGGGTTAGCACAGTCCAGGAAAGAAAGGAAATAGAAAGACAAGAGCCTGATGTCCGGGGCCACTTTGGTTTAGGGGTGGTAGCTGCTGGGAGCAGAGAGCTGAGAGGAAGAACCACAGACAAAAGCGCTGGCTCAGGGCCCACCAGCCATGGGGTCGTTATGACCCACTCTCCTAGAGAACTGGGACCACTGGCTGCACCTGCGCAGTAGAGAGCATCCTGGCTTCCAGACCCCTGGGTGGTCCGAACCTTCCCACACCCTGAAGCTGTGTTAAAGTGACCGTGACCTGGGATGACACCGTTCAACTTATTTCTGCAAATAAGTTTTAAAAGTAAAAAATGTGCAGCACACAGAGATAATGAGGCAGAGGGACAGAGAAGACAGCCTAACAGAGATGCAGCTGTAACAAGAGCCACTGTGGCTTCAGGCTGAACCACTCCTGCCCAGGAGAGCCGGCAGCTAGATCTCCCATGGATGCCTCACGACACGGATGAAGCTTCCTGCCATGGGAGTGAGCCTGCAAGCACCTGCCCGGGTCAGGCCTTCAGATGTGAGTGCACCAGCATCTTGATTACAAACACATGAGTGTCTCTGAGGCAGAACCACTTGGCTAAGTTGCTCCGGACTTCCTGGTCAGAGGACCTATGAGACAATAAACACTGTTCCCACCAGTAAGCTTGCATGCATAGGACATAGGACATGCAGTAACAGATAACTCACATGCTCTCTGGGAGGAAGTCTCATCCACGTGCACCAGGAGATGGATAGAAGAATGTGCACAACAGTGTGCTGACTTAGCATGAAATTTGAAACAACACCAAATATCCACCAATGGATTGAATAAATAAGCTGGTATATCAGCCAACAAAATAATAGCTAACAGTGAAAATGAATGACTTATACTTACATGCTATTAACATGGATGAGCCTCAGAAGCATATTATGAAAAAGCAAGTAACAAAATACACAGAGCATAACTGCATTTACATAAAGTACGTAAAACATTGGGAAAAATGTATCCTTCAGGGATAGATTATGATGAAAAGATGATTATCACAAAAGCCAAAATAGAGTTTCCCTGTGGGCAAGGGATGGGAGTGGATGTAGGAGGTTTTGAAAATACTGGTCATTCTCTTTTCCTGAATCCGGGTTGTGGTTCACACAGAGGCTTGCTTTATTACTATTCTTTAAACTACACATAAAATCACACATACTCCTCTGTACATGGGGCTTCCCAGGAAGCTCAGTAGTAAAGAATCTTCCTGACAACACAGGAGATGCCGGAGACACGGGATACGCAGATTCAATTCCTGGGTGGGGAAGATCCCCTGGAGGCGGAAACAGCAGCCCACTGCAGTGTTCGTGCCTGGAGAATCCCAGGGACAGAGAGCCTGGGGGGCTACAGTGCATGAGGTCGAAAGAGCTGAACACGGCTCAGCGAATGAGCATGCACACACTGCTCTGTATACACGATAAATTTCACAATGAAAGAAAAGGCCATCAACAGCACGTAAGAAACAGAAGTGATACCTCTAGAGAGAGACAGGAGACGTGAGTGATGCCGAGGCAGCCCAGGAGTTCACGGAGGACGAACAAACAAGTGCTCTTCTCCCCTCTGCTCTGTAAGGCAGTGCAAGTCACTCAGTCGTGTCCGAGCCTCGGCAACCCCGTGGACCACACAGTCCATGGGGTTCTCCAGGCCAGAATACTGGGGTGGGGAGCCTTCCCCTTCTCCAGGGGATCTTCCCAACCCAGGGATTGAACCTAAGTCTCCTGCACTGCAGGCGGATTCTTTACCAGCTGAGCCGCCAGGGAAGCCCAGGAATACTGGAGTGGGTAGCCTATCCCTTCTGCAGCGGATCTCCCCGACCTCGGAAATGAACCGGGGTCTCCCACATTGCAGGCGGATTCTGCTCTCTAAAGGCAGCCTTTTCTGAGGTCCTGCACCTCGACAGAACTACACCTGTGCCTCTGTCTGCGCAGTCTCCGCTTTCTCTTCTGTGGTTACTTCTGATTGTGTCTTATCTCCCCGAAACACACACGGAAGGGCCCTTGCGGCCTCCCCCGTTCTGCCAGGCTGCCCTCCGGGAAGACGTGCACAGCAGCTTTTGTTAAGGAACTGAAGAAGTCATTGCACTGATAGACATTTGTATAACATGGTACCCAGAGCTTAGAGAAATGATGAAGACTCTCAGAGCACAGAGACGGGCGTGCTCCTGGAAAGAAAAGTAAGGGTATGAACATAAGTGTGGTGACCCCATTTGCTGAAAGGCCTCACAGGGTGTGCAATACCAGCTCCCGGCTAAACGAAATGGAACTGAATTCACGCTCTGGGTGGGCAGCCACAAGCACTCCCGACGGCCTGAACCCGGCCAGCTCCATCAGGGCTTTCCGGGTGGCTGTGGAATTGGTTCGTGGGCCTGCTTGCCCAGGACACCTACATCCTGCGCAGCTGCTCCTGACCTCAGCGCTGCGGGGGCAGAGGCCGCAAGGCACGTCTGCACTTCGCTGGCTGCCAGGATTTCGGAAATCCCAGGTGCCTGTCCTCGGCAGGGTCTGAATCCAGCAGGCCAGAGGACGGTGAGCGAGCCCACAGCACACTTACGGAGGCGCGCTCATGGAAGGACGCGCGCCCGGGTCCCCCGGACGCCAGTCTGGACGAGTCAGGACCCAGCTCTGTTGCTGCTCCGCTCCGCGTGGCCGACTCCCCTTCTCCCCGCAGAGCTTCACACCTTTCCAAAGAGGCGCGCCCTGGCGCCCTATTTTCACTGCCAGGCCCGCCGCCCCCCTCCGCATCCCCTTCCTAACTCTCTGCGTCACTGATGGTCTGGGGACAGACACCGCCACCCGGCGGACGGTGCATGGCGCGCCAGGAGTTGGCGCCGGGCGGGCAGAGCCGGTTGAGGCCCGCAGAGCTCGGGGGCAGGGAGGGAGACACCCGCCACGGTGGGGGGTGGGAGGCCGAGGGTGCCCTGGGCCCCACCGGGACCCTCCCGCTGCTCCTCCACCTCCTGCTTTGCCCAGAGGCGGAGAGGTGGGGGTGGCGGACAGGACCATCAGGACAATTAAAACTGGTCAAAGAGGATGTGCCAGGAACCATCCAGAGCACGTGGGAATCCAGGGGAGCAGGCCCGGCTGGCAGGCGGTGCCCCAAAGGTGTAACCTTCAGAAGGCAGCTTCATGTGCAGCAGGAGCAAGTCAAGGGCCTGGGTGACCTTCGGAAGGTCACGTCCTGTTCCAGGTGAAGGCAGGCCCCACCTCTTCAACCCAGACAGAGAATGCTTGTAGGATTATATTTTTCCAGTGGCTTTGATGGGCTTCAACAAACTTTTCAGGACAGGAGACTATGTATAAAGTGCTAAAGTACCTCCGAAGGTACAGAATACCGATGTTATAAAAATATTAATATCTTGTACTGTTTAAAAAAAGTAATAAAGAAATGCTGCTATTTCACAGCCACCGCCAGTTTTTGAACTACCAAGTGTTCCCTGAGTGAGTGGTACCCGACTCTGGTCCCATGGCCTATAGTCCGCCAGGCACCTCTGTCCATGGGATTTCCTAGGCAAGCATCCTGGAGTGGGTTGCCATGCCCTCTTCCAGGGGATCTTTCTGACCCAGGGGGCCAACCGCCAAGCACTCCATAGTGACATTAAATGCAGATACCTGTGTGTGAGGGTGACCCCTTTATTAAATCATCAGGAATTGTATTGACCTTCGAAACACTAATTGCTAGAAACTTAAGTTTCACGTGTTGAGCACACTTCAGAAGAGTCTGAGTCACTTTTCAGTCGCCGGGGTTTTGTGGGTTAGAGGTTCGCCCTGAAGTCCGTCTTCACCGAGAGCCTCATCACGGGCTTCTCGCCGGGCCGCAGGAGGCAGATAGAGCTGGGGAAGCCCTTGGGCGGGAGGCGGCTCACGCCCCCGTCGGGGGTGATGGTGAGCTTGGCGTGGGTATGACGTCCTGCAGTTCGGGGGTCAGGCTGTCCAGCACATGCATCTCATTGGGCTTCAGCTGGAAAGAGGGGAGGCGGAGGTCCTTGTAGTGACCAGGGGGCTGACTCTCCCAAGGCCACCCATCCGATTGGACTCTGGCCTTAAAAGGTGAAAAGTTATTCCATGATAATAATTCGGCTCGCCCTAGCAATCTGCTTTTGGGGACAGGATGCCCTAAGGAGACCGGCATGAATACTCAGGTCCCCGTGATGTTTCTTTCTGATAGTTAAGTAAGTGGACAAACTGATGAGAAAAAGAAAGCAGAAAGGGGGCCCGTGGGAGTGTTCACCCCTCACTAAGGGGAGCAGCGCTCACTCCCATCTCCGACCCGAAAATGACCATGTCCCTCCTGCATGATCCAGGGAAATGCTCTGGATCACCTCAGCATCCATCCCAAGGCTAGCCACACCCTGGTGGCTGTAAATATGCTAGCCGCCCCACCTAGAGAGTCAGTACAATGCAGAAACGTTTCTCCATGTATGCATGCTTGAACAAGGTGGTCTAAAAAACAATTTGAGAGTTAGATTATGCAAACATGTGAAACGCGAGAGCCTGTCATTTTATAATATAAAGGGGCAGAGACAGTTTTTAAAATCTCATTTGTCACACTGTTAAACTGAGCAGAAGCTTTGGGGCGGAGCTGTGACCCTCTGAAACCCGGCCTCGACTGAAGCAGCCCGCGGGAGGGCTGCCTGCGTGGCCCCAAGGGATCGGACACCACACTACCTTTGTGACCGGAAGCAGTGGCTTCCACTTATGGCCCGGAAGGTCCCACTTCTGCCTGACCATGTCTTCCTCCTCCTGCGTCGTCAGGATGCAGCCGTCCACCTTGCAGCTCTCCGGAGAATTACCTGTCAGAACAAGACAAAGGTGTCTTTTCCACTCTGTCTGCACCCAGTGCAGTTTGGTTTATGGAATATTGACCTTTTTAATCAGATCAAAAAGCCCAGCAAAAAGTGAGCATGGGTGAGGTGAGCGTGCTTCTGGGGTGCATGAAGAGGACATCCCAATGACTGTTTCTGTTTCTTTAATATACGTGCACGTGTGAATACACGTGTGTACACATGTGTGCATGTGTGTATTAGGCCTGGCATGTTTGATGTTATAACTGGATGCCAGCTTGTTCCCGATCCCCATGCCCATCATCCCTGGCTGACATATCCAAGGCCAGTAGCAGGGCATCCATGCCATGCTGCAGTTTGGGGTCCCTGGCTACATGGATTTGCTGTTTATTACCCTGGTTTTGACTAAACTGTCCCTCACAAAAATAAACAAGCGACTTTAAACTACCACACAGAGAACCATGGATTAAATATACCACTAGAGATGATTTGTGAACATCCATAAACAGCAAAAAAATAACAGAACTGACATTCCTCCTGACCGTCAGGAGCCGCCCTTGGTCAGTCACGTTGAAAGGTGGAAACAGTGACCACTAATCAGATCTAAACCACAGGAGTCTTCCCAACAGGAGTTCAAATTATCAAGACCCCTTGAAACCGTTTACATCCACCCATTGAGGATGAACTTCACCTTAAATATATGCCGACCCTTGATGAAACAGTTAATAGTTGAGTGAGGTCATAATGATTCACAAGACATTTAAAAATCAAGCATCCAGTGTATGAATACAATCTGCTGTATTTATTCAAAGACGGCCAAAGAATCATGAGACACCCACCATAGTACTTGGCAAAACTTCACTTAACAATTATAAAAGTTTAGTAACCTCTTTTGAACTTAATATAATGAACCATGTATCTATCTCATAAGAAAGTAAATATGGAATATTAAGGGTGCTTTTCCAAATATTATTTTATTAAAGGAAGGCCATGATTTTTAAAATGTGTGTAGATCACTGCCCAGAGAAGAGATAGTCACCAAGCTGCTTGCGATCCCTCCCCTGAGAAGACACCTCCACCTTGTTCTTGCGATGTCCTAACCAGGAGGTGTTTCATAGGCTTTTTCACATGGAGTTCAGGGACCTTGTGGTGAAGAGCCTTAGTGCCCCATAGAATCTCATGACTTTTGTAGTCGAGTGCACATCCAATGCTTTATAAAGAGAGAAGCAGAGTGCAAAGGGTTAAGATAACATGCTTGAAGCTACACAACTGTGAGCGGAAAGCCAGGCCCACAGCCCGCTGCCCTGAGTCCCTCTCCTGCTGGAGCCCACTGTCTTTATTCTTTTTCATAGTTTTTATTTATTTATTTGGCTGCATCGGGTCTTAGTTGCGGCATGGAGCCCGCTGCCTTTATGATCAGCACATCAATTATAAGCGGTTTCTTAGTGGCATCACATTTACCTTTGAAATACTTTGTATCAATTTCAATTTGAGTTATTACTCCAGGATGAGCCAATCAGAAAAATGCCCACTCACAGCCTGGAACCAGGAGAATACCGTTCTCATCATTCTGGAATTCAAAAAGAGGAAGAAAAAACATAAGTCAGCTTGCTGTCATTCAAGACACCAATCCTGAAAGCCAGCAAGCGACAATGTTGGCACGTACTTGTCACTCCCTGCTATAAAAGAGTAGGGCATCCCTGGTGATTCAGAAGGTAAAGAATCTGCCTGCGATGCAGGAGACCAGGGTTCAGTCCCTGGGGCGGGAAGATCCCCTGGAGGAGGGCATGGCAACCCTCTCCAGTATTCTTGCTGGGGTAATTCCGTGGACAGAGGAGCCTGGTGGGGTCACAAAGAGTCAGACATGACCGAGTGACTAACACTTTCACTTCACTATAAAAGAATACCTACTTTCTGTGATCTGGTGTAAGTTGCTTCTTGCGTAATAAAGCGTCTCTCTACTGTCACTCTGTAAACGCCTGATGCCGACTCGGGTTAATCGGGTGCTTGGTAAATTTTGATGAATTTCTGATACGATCATGTATGTCAGTTATAAATTCAGGTGGGCTTCCCAGGTGGCGCTAGTGGTACAGAACCCACCTGCCAATGCAGGAGACTTAGGAGACGCGAGTTCAATCCCTGGGTCAGGAAGATCCCCTGGAGGGGAGAGCATGGCAACCCGCTCCAGTGTTCTTGCCTGGGAAATCCCATGGACAGAGGGGCCTGGCGGGCTACAGTCCACAGGATCGCAAAAAGCTGGACATGACTTAGCGCGCATGCACATGAATTCAGGTAGGATGCTGTACACCAAAGGATGTTTATCTAACCCAACCAAGAGCTCCTGTGGTTGGTTGGTTTTGACTTTTCAAAGTAAATATGTCTTTGACCAAATCTATACCAATATATGACTTGCCTCCAAACACAAATTTCTAGTGAGGAGACTTTGTTTATATTTGGAAGCATTGGGTGATACAAACCCATGAAAGGTATGTTTACAATTAAGTTATTATAATTTGTATAATATATATATTATAAATAAGTTATAAATTAAATTAAATTATAATTTGTGGTATAACTTACACACTGAAAGTTGTTTTCTTTCATTTTTTACTTCCTTATCTTGAGTTAGTTACTGGCCAAATCAGACAGCTGAGCCATCACGCGTTCACAGACGTGGTCTCACCCAACGATACGCAAAAATCAAAGATGATGAAATAGTGGCTGTTTTCCTCCAGATCAACAAATTTACTCATGGGTTTTATTAAATTTAGATGCTCTAGTTTTTATATTAAAAAAGGGATAATTCCAATGATGTGTTGGAACAGCCAGCATTAATTAGCAAGTTTAACTTCTAGGTCTTTATGTGTAGTCTGGCCCTGATATTATAATGAAACAGTAGAAGATTTAGAAAACATGTAGAAGCAATAAGTATTTACAAAAATGCCCAAGACTCCTTGACATCAGTGTCCTTAACATTAAATGAAGGAAAAAACCTTTACTTTCTGGGAAGTGTTGGGATGCAGCATTTTCACGTCTCACCTCCAGTATCGGGGGCCTGTCCAGCCTCCGGGCTGTTTCCTAGCCGTCTGCCATCAACTTCGCCGTGCCGACTCCTGCCAAAAACAGTGTTTAGTGGGATATCACAGGATCATCACGTTTTATTAAAAATGTGAGAATAACTGCATTGGCGTGATCGGTGCAGATCCCGTGCACCTGAGCAGTGCAACATCTGTGATTTTCATTAAGATGAACGTTTCAGCAAATTCACACACAACTATAGGGTTAGTAAATTTTACTTTTCCGTTTAGAGCAACTGCTTAAGACAAAATTAGGAAGGGAGATTGTTATTGATTTACTTCCTGTCTTAAAGGCTTTCAATCCTATATGAAGGATCTCACCCACCCATATGGCTTGAGATGGCCCCTTCCTCTTAAGTAATTCATACCACACTGGGGTGCTGACTGTGATGTCCACATGTCCCAAGCTCAAGCATCGTCTCACCTATTATGTTGTTCGGGTGCCCAAAATGTGCATTGCTAAATCCTACACAGGCACCCCCATACGCGATCATCACCAGGTCTAATGGTTCTTTGGGGTCACCTGCAGTCCAGTCTTTTTGTCCAGTACCGTATACCCTAAGACGTGAAATTCCACCATCTGAAAAGGAAAAGTGCCTATTATTATTATTACTTGGGAAAAGTTGCCCTTTGTGGATCTTAAAACACAGAGCTCTCCACATCTGCCTGCTCTAGTTCTTAAATACACTAAACCCCAGGCCTTTGCACCTGCCACCCCCTTGTCCTCAGACAACTTTTCCTGCTGTCTAAAGACTACTCGCTGATCTCAAGTCTCAGCCTGTAGCATGGCCCCAGGAAGGCCTTCTTTCCCTCTCTAGAGCCATCTCCTTCCTGCCCCCCACCCCACCTCAGCCACTGTCTGCTTCCCCAGGGTAAGGTTATCAATGCCCCCCCCCACTTATTTACTTCATTGCACTAATCATAGTCCAGAATTACCTTGTTCTTAAGTCCCTGATAATAAGTCTCCCAAAAGCAGAATCTAAAAATCTTTGAAGGCCAGAATAGCTACTTGTCTTGCTTGCTTCCGTGTGGCACATAGTAAATACTCACATATTTGTGGTGTTAGTGAATTAATAACTCCAGGAAGGCCAAAAATCAGTTGGGAAATTCACGACAGATATAATGCTTAGTGCCCAAAATCAACATTGCTAAATCCCACACCAACTTACACAAGATCTTAGGTTTTTATTTTTACACACGTCGCTTTGCAGTGTGGTTGAGAATATTGAAGATAACATTCACAAATACAAGTAGCTGCTGAGAACCAGAGCAGCTCAAGAGTAGGTCTGCAGAGCAGAAAATAACTACCAAGGTCCACTCACATTATGTGAGTCTAATAAAATGAACGTTTCTTATTTGAGTATCACTTCCTAGAAGGTGGAACCCAAGCTTTTTTATACGGAAGCTCAAAGTCATTAATCAGAATATTCTAATGAAACCAGCCCTATATTTTTACATGAAAAATCTGGTGAAATTGAGTGATCTGAAAAAATTTTAGTAGAACAGTGAAGTCTTGATATTTGCAGTAAATAAAACCAGGCTGTCTTGGTATTTGCTGTCGTTCAGTCCTTCAGTCGTGTCTGACTCTGCATGTCTGGACTGCAGCACACCAGGCTTCCCTGTCCTTCACCATCTCCTTTATGTGTTGGTATAAAACCCAAGACAATATGCTAACAAGAGTAATTCACAACACTATCCTGGCTCATTGAACATTATGAGCTGCCTTCGTGGTACATAGTGTTAATGTCTGTTCCTGTAAAGCTGATTTTACATTAAAAAGAAAGATTCTTGTTTACAGAATTAATGTCCAACCTCACTTTTAATCATACTGTCAAGGAATAGTCCCCTTCATGGATCACAGCCTTGACATGGCAAAGGGGGTCATGTAAGATCATGGCATCCAGCCGATCACTTCATGGCAAGCAGAAGGGGAGAGAGTAGAAGCAGCGACATTTTATTTTGGGGGCTACAAAATCACCGCGGACAGTGACTGCAGGCCCGCTGGCTCAGATGGTAAAGAATCTTGTCTGCGATGCAGGAGACTTGGTTTCGATCCCTGGGTCAGGAAGATCCCTTAGAGAAGGGAATGGCAACCCACTCCAGTATCTGGCCTGGAGAATTCCACGAACAGAAGATCATGGCAGGTTACAGTCCATGGAGTTGCAAAGAGTAGGACATGACTGAGTAACTAACACTTACTTGCTCCTTGGAAGGAAAGCTATGAGAAACCTAGACAGAGTACTCAAAAGCAGAGCCATCACTTTACTGACAAAGGTCCGTAAGTCAAAGCTGAGGCTTGCCAGGTAGCACTAGTGGTGAAGAATCTACCTGTCAATGCAGGAGACACAAGGGATGTGGGTTCAATCCCTGGGTCGGGAAGATCCCCTGGAGGAGGAAGTGGCAACCCACTCCAGTATTCTTGTCTGGAAAAGTTCATGGACAGAGGAGCCTGGCCGGCTATAGTCCATGTAGTCGCAAAGAGTCAAACACAACTGAGCATGCACACACACATGGTTTTTCCAGCAGTCATGTACAGATGTGAGAGTTGGACCATAAAGAAGACTGGGAACCAAAGTACTGATGCTTTCAAACCGTGGTGCTGGAGAAGACTCTCGAGAGTCCCTTGGACTGCAAGGAGATCAATCAATCCTAAAGGAAATCAACCCTGAATATTCATTGGAAGGACTGATGCTGAAGCTGAAACTTCAGTACTTTGGCCACCTGATGGGAAGGGCTGATTCCCTGGAAAAGACTTTGATGTTGGAAAAGATTAAGGGCAGGGGGAAAAGGGGACGACAGAGGACGAGATGGTCAGATAGCATCATGGATTCAACAGACATGAATTTGAGCACACTCCAAGAAATAGTGAAGGGCAGGGAAGACTGGCCTGCTGTAGTACGTGGGGTGGCAAAGAGTTGGACACAACTTAGCAACTGAACAACGAACAGTAAATAAAATATGCAAGTGACCAAGTAAGCAATTGAAATTAGTCACGAGGCTGCTTAATGCTCTAACAACTTAAATGGGAAGAGAATTTTAAAAAGAAGAGATCCACATATATGTATAACTGAATCACTTTACTGAAAATCAGGAGGGGATGACAGAGGATGAGATGGTAGGATGGCATCACCGACTCGATGGACATGAGTTTGACCAGGCTCTGGGAGTTGGTGATGGACAGGGAGGCCTGGCATGCCGCAGTCCATGGGGTCGCAAAGAGTTGGACCACGACTGAGAGACCAAACTAACTGAACATCAGAAAATCGGAAACTAACACAACACTGTTAACAACACTCCAATATAAAAAATAGAAAGCTTTTAAAAAACAATAATTAGTCATAAAGGAAATGCAAATCAAAACCACAGTGAGATACCACTTCATTTCCTCTAGGGTGACTGTGATCAAAAACTCAGAAAATGACAAGTGTTGGGAGGATGTGGAAAAACCAGACCCTTCATACATTGCTGATGGGAATGTAACATGGTGTGGCCATTTTGGAAAGAAGTCTGATAATTTCTCATAAAATTAAAAACACAGTTATTATATGACCCAGCAATTTCAACTCCTAGGTGTACACCCACATGAAAACCATATGTTTGCACAAAAATTTGTACAGGGATGTTTATGCCAGCATTATTCATAAGCTTTCAATAGGCGAAAATAGCCCAAATGTCTGTCAACTGATGCATGGACAAGCAATGAGGTCTGTCCATAGAATGGAAGATTATTTGACCACACACAGGAATGAAGTATTGACGCTCGACAACATGGGTGAGCCTTGGAAACATGTTAACCAGTCACAAAAGACCATTTATATGAAATGTCTGGAGTAGTCCAGTGGATCAAGACAGAAAGTGGACTGGTGGCTGCTTAGGGCTGGGGGAGATGAATGTTGATAGCTAAAGGATATCAGATTTCTTTTCAAGGTGATAAAAACGTTCTAAAGTTGACTGTGGTGATGGCTGCACATATACTACCTGTGTCTATTTCATGCACACGCTCAGTTGCTCAGTCGTGTCTGACTCTTTGCGACCCCATGGACCATGGACCGTAGCCCACCAGGATCCTCTGTCTATGGAATTTTCCAAGGAAGAGTACTAGAGTGGGTTGCCATTTCCTTCTTCAGGGGATCTTCCCGACCCAGGGATTGAACCTGCATCTCCTACACTGCAGGCAGATCCTTCACCTCTGAGCCACCTGGGAAGCCATATTATATATTTACATAGACTTTACACAGTATACTTACATGTACAATAAACCATAGAATTGTATACTTCACATGGGTGAAAAGCATGTTACACTTATTACATTGCAATAAAGCTGTTCAATAAAACAAAATAAGAGTTATTTGTACACAGCACTTCAACTGCTATAATATGTCTGTGAAACAGACATTGTTAGGTGATATCTAACCTAATACACCTTAGGTCCATCACATCCTAATTTAATTGATAGTTTTTCCTAACTACCTACGGATGGCAGGGCTAAAACGAGAATTTCCTAGTACACAAAAAGGGAAGATTAAAATCCTAAAATGCTAGAGAGATCAGTGACCAAGGAGGAAAGGGTGACTTTGCTTTGTGTTTTTAAAACATGTCAGCACTCAATGAAGAAACCACAGGACTGGAGATGGTCCATCATATTTACCTGGGAAAATGTTGAGTCGTATGTGACTCCACCTCTGCTGGGAATTGACCGGAAAATAGTTGTGGCTGGAAGCAGGATTTCCCGGTTTAACTTCTGTCACGGGAACCAAGCAACTCCAGTCGTCGGACTTCAGCTAGCAATAAATATAAAAACACTAGTGATGGCTCTAGGGACAATAAATCCTCGCATCTTAAATCCCTGCATGGGGCTTGCGGGGCAAGCACTTTGGAACAAAATTAATGATGGATGCCTAATGGAACACTTTAATAAAAACACTAATAAACATCAAGTCCCAGGTTTAATAAACAGAATAAAGGCCTGCTTTTATTTTACCCTGGTCATAACAGCCACCGGGCGGTGGTGGCCAGGGATGGGCAAGGGGTTAGAAACGAACCTCTGGATGTCTTCACTTTGAGGATTCATAAAAAAGCAGCAGCCAGAATGTGATGTGAACATTTAAATAAAACCCAGGCTCTTGCCGTGGGCCTGGGGGTAAATGGGTCAGCCTGAGCCTCCCAGCTCTCTCCTCTAGATCAGCGCTTCACTGGAAGGGCCTGCTTGTTGTTGCCGTTTTGTATTTCCCCAGTGTGTTATGGATCCACACTTTTGTAAAATGCAATGAAGATCACCAGACAAACTTCGAAAATCAAGTATGTCCCCAAATGCAAACCAAATTGTTTATTGCATTACATTCATCTGGCATAATGTTACTTTGTCCAATAGCTATCAAAAGTATGTGAACTGACTCTGTGTTTATCTCAGAGGGCATCATTCTGCATCTCTGTGAGCAGATTGCCTTGTGGGAAAAAGCACCCTGGACCTAGCATGCACTGCGGTCAGGGGTGCATAGACCCACCCAGAAACCTCTGCAGGGTCGCACGGGGCAAGCACAACGTGTGAGCTGTGCCAGGCTGCGTGCAGGTGGGCAGGCGGGCAGAGCTGCTCCCAACAGCTCGTGAAAAGCCCCCGCTCCCCTGGGAGATGTACCTCCGAAATGGCTTCAAACTCCTCAGGGGTGGCCGCAGTTCCTGTCCTGACTTCTCGTTGTGGGATTTCTGGCTGCTTATCTAAAGTTACAGTGACCATGAGGGTTACCATTCCCATTCACAATCAGAATATACATACTCTCTTCATGAACTGTAGGGTCATTTTCATTTTGCCTAAAGATACCGTTTCTTAAGTCAAAGTATCAGATGACCAATGTAATAGATGTATGTGTTAAAGTCCCTCCACATTTAAAATACTTAGGGTAACTTCAGAAGGGGCGCTGCACATCCGGTGGTTCGTCTGCTCATCAGAGGGTAAGTATCATCTCCAAGTTTAGCCAGATGGACAAACTTATCACATGACTCGGGTTTTCAAAAGGCTGGATTGATAAAGTTATGGAATATTGTAAGTCAACTCCAAAAACACTGCTTCCCCCAGTGGCATCCTCAGAACCGATCCGTGGGCGATTCACCAACAGGGGCCCGTGTGGACGATCAGTGCACCTCCTGAAAGCATCTTTCTCTTTGTCACTGGTCACTCTCTCCCAGCATCACGTGACTTTTCAGGTCCCTCCATCATCTTTCGGGAGGGGAGAGCTGTCACACCCCTGGAGCCTCCTACGTTACGAGCTGGGCACAGAGTGCCTGCAGGATAAGACTGCTAACTGACATGACTCCTGTTTCCCAAGTAAAGCACAGCCGTGCCCGTGAGGGTACATGTTTCTAGGAAGCTGCCTCTGGGACCAGCCCAGGAGGACACCGGTTCCATTCCAGGATTCGGAAAGGAAACTTCCTGGAAAGCCCAGAGCTGCCATGTCCTTACGCAGACCCAGGGGGCTGGGAGGCAGCAGAATGAGCAGGGGAGAGGCCCCACAGCTGGCCTGGCCCGGGCTCCAGACCGCCCTGGCCGCGCCACCCAGCCACCCGCCCCGGCAGCCTGCTCCCCAAACCCTGCGCCTCCGGGGGGTGCTGCACTGTGAGAATAGCAAAATCTAAGTTGAGCTGAAGAACACGGCTAAGCTAAACCTCAAAAATCACGGAGCCCTTGAGGGGGAATGTCATCAGCCTCTGTGGCAGTGAGAGGGCCTCTGAACGAGATTGTCTGGGCGGGAAGCGAGCCATCAGGTGTCCCCGCACAGATCCTCCCGGGCCAGGGGGTCCCCGGGCAACTTCTTCGAAGTTTGCCGCTTGAATCAACACTCGAGGGGCATGATCTCCCGTGAAGTAGGACGTGTCCACGTCGAAGCCCCGGATAACACCCTGGATGCCCAGCTGGACCACGCACCAGTCGTGACCTGGGGATGTAAACAACAGGAACCCCTCGGGCTGAATCCCGCCAACGAGCCTCGCTCCTGAGCAAAACGACAGTGGAAATAAAACACCGGAAACGCACTTCTCGCATCGGAGAGACACGTGTGCGGGCTCCTCCTGGCCAAGACTGCCAGGTCTCTGCTGACACGGCCTCATGGGCCGCCACTGGCCACGTGGATCCTCCCTTCTAATGTGACCAGAGTGTGTATAAGCCCTGGATCCGGATGGGCCGTATGTCTGACTTCAAACTGGCCACCTCCCATGTGCATTATTGGCAGACGGGCGTCTCTGAGCTTCATTTCTTTTAACTGCAAATCAGGGATGAGATCAGCTTCCAAAAGTTTAGCTATAACTCTGGGGTAGGCACCACCAGCCCAACTCAGCCGGGGCTCGGGATTGAGCTGGGTCTCCTGGAAACAGCCTGCTCTTTGCCTTCAGGGACCCAGCCAGGACTACCCCTCCCTGCATCAGATGATGTATAAGGACTCCCAGTGTGACACTGTGTGATTCTTGGTTTCCAGCAGTCAGATTCAGGTCAACCTTAAAATGTCCAGTTTTATTAGAATCTAATAAGGCCTGGGCTTTGCTGGTGGCTCAGACAGTAAAGAATCTGCCCGCAGTGCGGGAAACCTGGGTTTGATCCCTGGGTTGGGAAGATTCCCCTGGAGGAGGGCATGGCAACTCACTCCAGTATTCTTGCCTGGAGAATCCCATGGACAGAGGAGCCTGGTGGGCTACAGTAACGTCACAGGAGTGAGTGAGCAGAGTCAGCATCGTCTTACCTGGGATCCTTTTCCTTCTGGTCTGCCATCCGGCCATCCACTTCCCAAACTCGGCGTACTCACGTTCCTTAAATCTTGGGTTGTCCTTCTAAGCAAAGACAAGCGGATCATTAACCTTCATGCAAGAGCCTAGGCTTGCAGGAAATAGACTTCTGTCCCAAAGGGACAGATGCACGGTGCAGAGAACAGGGACTGCAGGGGAGACGGAGGACGATGCCTGCGTATATCTTCGTATCAGCTTCGGAGAAAGAAGTCCTCCTTCTCTGCGGGCCATCCTCCACGGAACTTGCCACTGGCAGCAAAAGGTAAAACCACACATGGCTTATTCCAGGGGCCCCACCACTGGTGCAGCCGCAACCTGGGAGCCTCCTGAAAAGTCATTTATCAAAGCGAGGAAGGGTAGCTGGACCCCCAGAGCAGCCCCGAAAAGACTGGGCAACCAGAATCGGGAGAGTCTCAGGAAGCGCAGGCTTGACGCTGCGGGTCCCTCTGAACACTCACCCCTGCCCCCATCCCCGTGCTCTGAGCTGCTTCATGCCCACCAGTAAAAGTGAGACCCCCGCCCCACGGCAGTCACACGCTGCCGGGCGCCAGCTCTACGGGCCCCAAGGCCATCACCCCTCTCGCAATAACTCCCGCTGGCCCCCTGCAGGGACAAGGTGGCAGGATTCCCCAGAGTTCCTGTTCTTCCTTACATTTATCAGTATTTTCTGTTTTTAATAAACATATGCCAACAAAGGTCCATATAGTCAAAGCTATGGTTTTCCCAGGAGTCATGGACAGATATAAGAGTTGGACCATAAAGAAGACTGAGCGCCAAAGAATTGATGCTTTCAAACTGTTGCTAGAGAAGACTCCCGGGAGTCCCTCGGACAGCAATCCTAAAGGCAATCAATCCTGAATATACATTGGAAGGACTGATGCTGAAACTGAAACTCCAATACTTTGGCCACCTGATGCAAAATGCCTATTCACTGGAAAAGACCCTGATGCTGGGAAAGATTGAAGGCAGGAGGAGAAGGCGACGACAGAGGATGAGATGGTTGGATGGCATCACCAACCGTTTGAGCAAACTCTGGGAGACAGCGAAGGACAGGGAAGCCTGGGGTGCTGCAGTCCATGGGGGTCACAAAAAGACACAACTGATTGATTGAACAACAACATCTTTATAGATAAGTAGGAATAACATTTTCAAAAAAATTCAAGCTATGAAACACTTTGCTTCCCATCATAAGTTATAAACACAAAGTAGGGCAGAGAAAAATACAAGAGGACATAGTGACTCCCCCACAGAGCAAGGTGGTCCCAGAATCCTGTGTCGGATCCACATCTGTCTGCATCTTAACAGAAGTGAAGGCTAATTTCCACACATTTCTACTGTTCTAACATGCTAATTCTCCGGGTCACATCACGTGACTCCCAGCCCAAACACACAGGGAGATTTTAATTAGCAGGACTGCATGGCTCACCCCACCCCAGCACTTAGCAGAGGCCAATTTACAGTACCTTTAGAAGATTTTCAGCAGGAGCAAAAAAGTCATCTGTTGCAAATAAAATCTAGACAAAGAAAGAAGTAAAGATAAAATAACCATAAATTTAAAACCATTTTATTTCATTCCCTGGTGAAACATTATGAGACGCAGTAAAAAGAAAATGTGAAATTGCCGAGGGGGAGAGAAACAATATGCAATTAAGACACAATGCTTTTTAAATGCTTAGATTTCATTGCCTGCCTCCCTCCTTAATCTTGCCTTCTCACCCTTTCCTTAATCCCCTTTACCATCTGGATACAAAAGTGCTAACCTCTTAGAAAGAAAATAAACCAACTTTTTTTCAAGAACGGGGGATCCCGGGCTTTGTGACCCTTGTCCCAGAGCAATGGGGAAAAAATTGTCACCGGGGTCACCCCTGTGACTTAGCCAGCCCATCCTAGGACCCTGTGGGGAGGTTGGCCTGTGGTTTGTTCAGTTCAGCAGCTCAGTCATGTCCAACTCTTTGTGACCGCATGGACTGCAGCACACCAGGCCTACCTGTCCATCACCAACTCCTGGAGCTTGCTCAAATTCATGTCCATCGAGTTGGTGATGCTATCCAACCATCTCATCCACTGTCATCCTCTTCTCCTCCTGCCTTCAATCTTTCCCAGCATCAGGGTCTTTTCTAATGAGTCGGTTCTTCGCATCA